CTGCTGACCGTGCGATCGCACAAAAAGGTCGCGTGAAGAAATTAGCCAGGAATGACCGCGGTGGGCTTCATTCATTTCAATCATTTATTCAGTTGCCACTCTTTGTCACCATCATCCCACTTAAACTACTGGAGAGGAAGGAAGGAAGGAAGAAAAAACAACACATGCATAACCCTATCAGTATGTCGATGCTACACTTTAAACATTTACGGTTTCAGCCGTCACCATCGAATGGTGACACCAGAACAACGAACGGACGGACGAACAAAAATCACAATGAGTGCCCTGGGATAAGATAAAAAAAAGAAAACGAATTCACCGGTGAAAAAAAATGTACAAAACAATTGCCGAACAAAATCCACACAAAACGTTTATCTACAACAACAAGAATGTCTCTCTATTCTCTGGCATTTCAATGGTCATCTACATAGCCGACAAACGCCGCGCCAAATAATCGGGACAGCTCAAACCGCACGGCCTTGACGCGAGATTTGTTTCAGATGCGGGCTTCAGTTGTTTGGGCAGGTCCCATGAACAGCTATCGGACACATTTAGTTATTTAAATAAAAGTCAAAGTAATTTTTTTATCCTCACAGTCCCGAGCCAGTGGTGGAAATTCTGCCTTCTCATGGCAGGGGCAAGTCTCTCCTGCAAGATAAACCCAACTGACTGTCTGGCTGACGCCTGATGAAGCTAGTTGTAAATTACTGGCGAAACGTCGTACTGAGATTGTAAATGATGTGGCTTGGCTCTCCAAATCACCGGTGTGCTGTACAAGTGACGAATTGGCACGTTGTTTACGTGACAACCCTTACTAGTTGGCTGTGTCGGGTGGTAGCGGGTTTAATGACACATATATTTACGCGATCTAACCCAATAAAACCTGTATTATAAATCCCACTGACTTCCCCGCCAAGTTGTGAATATTTGATCGACCTCGGTGGGATGATGGGCCGAGTCAATCGTCCAGCCAGGATTTTGAACTCGCAACCCGCTCGCTCTTCACCAGGAGGGAGCCACCTGGGGATGGTTGGCACCAGCTTCCGGAGACGGCGAAGGTCAAATTTTGACTTAAAACTTTCGTGACTGCAGGAATTCATGTTCTTTAGTTATTTCGGTAAAGTCACGTAGACAGAAAATAAAAAAATGATAATAAAATAACAAATGTTAAATTAAAAAAAACTGACTACGTTTCGATCGCAACATAATGCGGAGAGAAAAGGGGGGTACAGCCTCTGATTTCAACTGTTCAAAAAGGTTCGGCATCGCTTCAGAAATGTGAGTGACTCGATCAGATCATCTGTGACTTTACCGAAAGAAACCAAAGAATGCGGTGAAGGTCGTTTGACAAGCGGCTGTGCGCTTAAATTGTACTGGTTCGCGTGAAGCATTCAGCACGCGGGCCGGCATCGTAGGCGTCTGGCAAATCCGCCTTTTGGTACTGCGTGTGGGATTACTGCCCAAAATCTGAAGCCTTCATCTGGCACAAAATTTGCCGTAACCATCTCCGTGTTTTGCCCAAGGCCTCGTGTTTCGGCCCGAGCGTTTTCACCGCAAGAAGATGACTGCACGCTGGAGGTAAATACAATGGCCACAATAGCCACGGTCATTCGCTGTTCCATCGCGACGACGGGCAGAGGTGCTTCTCACGACTTGAACGTGGACACGACAGTATACAGGTTACTCTGTTTAAAAAACAAAAAAAATCAATTCCACACAACCTCGTTCTTTCTGTTGGTTAGTGGAAAGTGCCGTGAAATTCTGTGCACCTTTTACCTCGGCTCCGGAAAAAAGCGAGGTCATTGAAACGTCACCCAGGCCACCATCAATCATTTCCTAGCGGTGTTTGTAGTGCAGTGCGGTCATTATTTTTGACCAGAGTTGATGGGGGGGGGGGGGAGCTGTCTGTAGGTCATCGCTTCTCAACGAGTCGACCCCAGCGATGCGTTTACGACTTTGGAAGGAAACAAAAAAACGGATACGTGACACACGCAAGTTGTTAGGGTATGGCCTCAAAAGACGAAAGCAGTCACGGACTTTGTTTTAGCCATGAGCTGCTACACCACCACACCTCACTGCTGTTCTCTCTCTCTTTTCTTACGTAAAAATAAAAAAACCCGGAAGTGTACAAACTGCACACAGATGCTGAACAACAGCAACTCCGTTTGTGCTGTGTGCTAAAGAAAATTAAATATCCCCCACTTTGAACAAAACAATCACTCTACAAAGCAAACGTATCTTACGCATTGCTCAAGTTTACGAGCGTCTATCATTTATCAGCAATGTGACAATGTGTTTATTTTTATTTTCAGCACCACGGACAGAGCTGCAACTGAGGTAATTGTCCCCTAATTAATCGACGTGACAATGGCCCAGTTCTTTTGTTGTTACTCCTGCAAGATGCGGCTCCGGATCGCGAGCGCCTGCGTACACGCTTTGAACTAAACATTTTTTTTAAAACACCGCATCTTTCTTGTGTAAAAGGCAACACGAAGTTTCATTCGCAGTGCTCGCTTGTCATTCCCCCGTGTCTTGCTTCATAAGGCTGAGATTCGTGACTTAGCAGTTTGTCTTTGGTTCAGAAGGAGATGCATTGTGCCCACCTGTTTGGCTCATTCGACTCTTTTGTCGGGTATCAAAATAAAATAAAAGATATTCTTGGTTATTTAGGTAAAGTCACGTAGAAGAAAAACAATAAAATAATAAAAATATAAAACAATAAAATTCTCACGACGTTTCGATGCAACACAAGCAATCATCATCAGGTGTGAAAACCACAGCAAGAAAATTTGAAAAAAGTGGCGGTTTTTTTACATTAGCACTACGGAGAGCGATTTGGCAGTTATTCAGATGGACGAGTCCATCTATGTTCGGAAAAGAGGAGGGGGGAGACGAAAATAATGGATGCGGTCTGAAAGCCACCGTAAGCGTGAACAACCAATTAAGACCCGAAATGGTTTATCAAATCCTTCCAATGATTGTTAAGCCAGAATCCATCTTCTCAGTTGAAATTGTCTCTGTGCTTGTATATGTGGATAGCCTCATGAACGAATCTCTCATGGTAGCCAGATGGCTTGCAAAGAACCTGTCTTGGAGAAGTCAATGTCATGTGAGCCTACTGAATTATAACAGTGATCTGCCACGGCCGAGGTGTTGGTCCTACCGTGTTTTAGGTCTGCTTTGTGTTCACGAATGCGGTCCGAGACATGTCGTTTGGTTTCTCCAATGTAACTACTACCACAGAGGCAACTTAGTTTGTAGACGCCAGGGTACTGTATGTCCAGAATCACATCTTTTACAGACGGAATCAGATCACGGATTTTATGTAATGTGTTGATTCGGACCTGGATCTTGTGTTTATTCAAGATTTTGGAGATATTTTTTGTGATCCCCGCAATGTAGGGTAAAGTGATGGTTTTGAAAGGCTCCTCAAGAGGGTCTTTCTTCATGGTTGGAGTGATAGCTTTGCAGATTGTGTAGTCGGAGTAACCATTAGCCTTAAGAGCTTGGTGTACGTGCTTCAGTTCACTGGCTATGTGTTCCTGGTCGGATATGCATTGGGCTCTATGGTGCATAGTCTTGATGAGGGAATTCTTTTTGGATGGATGGTGGTGGGAATCCGGTTTCAGGTTAGCATCCGTATGGGTAGCTTTCCTGTAGACAGAGTGGCTCATTGAACCATCAGGTCTCTTTTTTGTGTTGCAGTTGAAACGTCGTGAGAATTTTATTGTTTTATATTTTTATTATTTTACTGTTTCCCTTCTACGTGACTTTACCAAAATAATCAAGAATATGAATCCCTGCAGTCACGAAAGCTTTAAATCAAAATAAAATAAAAGACGTTAAGGCTGCCTACGTTTGTGGCCAATTTTGGTTTTTTTTCTTCTTATGCTTCTTCAAGCCGCATGAAAAATGCACGCAACTTACAACAAGGCTTCGCTTTGGAGATGTATGTCTTTGGCAAGGTCTAACAGTTGTGGGGGGTGTGAGTTGGGGGGGGAGGGGGTTGTTTGTGTGGGAGGACATTGGAGTTGCTAAGTTCATAATGGCATTGGATTTGCATAATACGGGGTTGTCCATACAGGTATCGTCACATTTTGACAAAAAATATATAATTAGACAACAATTTGGTGACATTCCTTAATAGACGATATTTTTTGTTGTAGCCTAAACATCGAGAATTATCCTCACTGGCGCGTGACAAAATATGCAAATTGAGAGTCACAACGGTGGGGTCGACGAGCACAGAGGCCTGCTTAAGATCTCGACGCGGCGTGCGTTGCCGTCGCCACGGAGGACACGTGGACGTTTCGAGGGATGACACTCGCACAGGATAACATTTTCGCACTAAGTTGCGTGTGTGTACGTTTAGGAGCGGTCATGTCGCAGTTAGCGCTACGCCGCGCTACGAACCCGGCGACCCGAGTTCGATTACCGCTCGCGGCCAACGCCGGTGACGATTATCTGAACCGGTCCCGGTCCTCCCCTAGGCCGACTCAGCCTCGATTGAGTACCTGGTGCGATGAGTAAAAACATTGCCACTAGGGAGACAAAAGCGGCCGTGCGTGGTGCTGGCAACCCACCCCCTCGTGTGTGCCGTTCCGGCCCTTCATAGGTGGGACTCGCGAACGGCACTTGCTCTAACAGTCTGTTGACGCTATACGGGAGGGGGGGGGGGATGACAATCTTTGTAGTTTTGTCGACCTGGGTCAGAATGCTGTCTAATTATAATTCTCTCACAACGGACGATACGGTGTACGGACAAGGCTGTACGACGATTCGTCTCTTGTACTTCCTCCGTCTTCCACCACTCCACCACCCGCGTGTGCCGACAACATGCACACACGCGCTCCGGCGGCGACGGACATCTGTGAAACGTGGGCAAGCGTATTTTGGTTCTCTATTGCTTTACTTTGGTGTTCGTTTAAGCTGGTGGTTATTTAAGCTGGTGGTTATTTCGTCTCATTTGTTTTCTTCTTCTTCTTCACATTTTGTTTCCGTTTTGGGGCATTTAAAGGTAAGCTAATGTTCATAGTTTGGCCTCTTTCAAAGCTTTAGCGATTAAGCAATTATACCGTATATAGTGCATTCGACAGAAATTGATCACGAACCACAATCTTGAACGCACGGTACGGTTTTGTTTGCTGTTGCAATTCCCGATTCATGATTAAATGAGCCACTGCGACATCACACTCACATCAGCGTAAAAAAAATATATCATTGAGGTCCGAATTAAAAAAATCGATAATTTCAAGGATTTAAATCGACAAGTTGCATGTGTTGGGATAAAGTGTGGGTAACGTCCACCTTTTCCAAGATGTCTGACCAGTGTGGAAGACTAGGCCAAATACCGTCTAAGCGTTCCCTCCAGGTGGAGGTCTCTCCATCAGCAGTGGCGTGAGTGAGCAATTGCAGGGTTGCACCTGTACTGCCTTTTTAAAAAGATTAGCTAAAACAATGAAGGACGACGAACGTGTGTTTAATGCAGTGCGCTGACTGCAGTGTGCAACTCGCCACGCAACGGATGATGAAGACTCGGGGGTGAATACCCGATCCGACGTTTGTAGACGTTTAGTTTGAAACTGCCGCTCTGTTTGATCACACCGAGGTCATCGTGACGACACGTTTCTGTTGCGGCTTTTGGGAGCTGCCAACCCACGGCCGATACATTTTTTTTTGCTGCATCAGAAACCATCCGAACGCCGTACATTTTTTTACCGCGTGAACCTGCTCACAGGGACGCGTGACCCTGCCGTTCCATTGGGGCGGTGCGACGTCAGCATTGAAGGGCGTTTTATACAAAACCCTCCCGCCAACTCGGCCGCTTCTGCGCCCCCAGCTACGAGCGATGGACCTCTGCAACGGCATTATTGCTGACGCAGTCGCGTTTGAGAAAACGCTGAGCGGTGGATGATGAACATACATAGTGGAGACGAACAGGCACCAATGCCCTTGAGACTCATTTTTAAGGCAGTGGTATTGTAAAGGTATCGAAGTAGTATTCTGTCCAACCGAAACGTTACAATGTACGAACACGATTACTATCGGTCAGATTTTTAAAAGACTTTTTTTTTCTCTTTACCATTTTAAAAAAATATCTTTTTTTTTGTTAGAAACTAATGCATACCAGTCCAATACAGGTAAAGGCCTATTTGTGTGCGCGTGTGTGTCTAAATTAATTTTAAAAAATAAGTCCGAGCATCCAGCATTGACGTGAGACGTACCAACATCCGAGCCGGCCACAAGCACGGCTTTCTCCCTTCACTCGCGAGCGTTCGCTTCGTCACGGAAACTCGCGACAAGGGGGGGGGGGGGGGGGGGGGGGGGCGTCGGGTGGTGGGGGAACGCGACGGCCGCGTCAAAAATCCGCACCGCGGAGTGCCTCCCCCCTACCCCAAACAAAAAAAGGGCTCGCCGGATTTTTCTTGCAAATTTTTTTCGTGAAAGAAACAAAAAGCCCCACGTTCGCTTTCTTTTCTCCTATTTTTTTTGCTTTTTTGCGTCGAGCTATCGTCATTTTTCCTTTCATTGTCTTTGTCCCCGCAAGCGGCGAGCGGGACGATGGCCACGCGAGGCAAACGTTCGTTCCGGCGGTAGAAAACGTCGTCGTCGTACAACTTGTAAAAAATGCAAAAAAAAATTTTTTTTTAAACCCCCGGCCCAAAGCACCGGAAACGATGCCATCACTGGGCGGCATACGCTCCGTGACCGTGAAAATGCGGCACCGACGCTTCGATGACTTCGCCCCCGATCATCCTGTCTCCTCCTTCTTCTCCTCCTTCTTCTCCTCCTTCTTCTTCTTCTTCGTCTACCTCGTCGTCATCTTCCGTGATGTCGTCGCAGTAGCCCTGGGCTTCGGGGGGCTCGGGGGAGCGGCACCCCCCGGACGTTGTGACGAGCGACAGGGGGCCTTGCTCAAACTCCGCCACCGCCGCCGCTGCCTCCTCCTCCTCCACATCCTCCTCCTCCTCTTCCAAATCCGCCTCCCGCTCCACCTCATCGTCGTCATCGAACTCCACCTCTCGCTCCCTGGGGTAGTCGTCGTCCTGCTGCATGTACATGGGCTCCTCCTTGATGTACACGTGGGACCTGCGGGAGGGCGGCAGAGACGGGAGGACGTGAGTTGGTAATTGACGATGATAGTGACGCGCCCAAAGGATGGGCGACCAACGTATGAGTGAGAAAGAGTTTTGCGCGATTAGAAGAAGACCTCTTCTTTGGTTCTTTCGGCAAAGTCACGTAGAATGAGAATAAAATAATAAATTGATAAAATAAAATAACACAATAAAATTCTCACGACGTTGTGTTATTTTATTTTATCAATTTATTATTTTATTCTCATTAGACGTGACTTTACCGAAAGAACCAAAGAAGATGAATCCTTGCAGTCACGAAAGCTTTAATCGAAATTTAGAAGAAGACCTGATGAGAAGGAAACTGGCACTATGTGGACAAACATATGTAGGATGGATGACGTGAAGATTAAAAGTGTGTTGTTGCTCAGGACAAATGGAAGGAACCGGAAAGAGAGGAAGACTTAACGGAGAATTTATTGGCAACGACATAAGAGATCGTTGCCGGAGAGAAGTGCGCTACTTGAGCATATTGGCACAAGACAGAGGAAAGTGAAAAGAAATGACAAAATGTGCTGTGGAGATCTACGGGGATATCTGCCCACGGATCGTGATAATGAATGACAATAATACTCACTGAAGAGTGTAGTATGTATGTCGAACCTTTTTCGCACTGTACGTAGCCAACCGTGCTCATCGGAGGTGAAGGAAGAGGACAACAAACTAAACACAAACAGCAACTTCTAAACAAATCCGTTTTCAATCCTCAAGTAGAGGGCCACGTTGCTCTGTGGTTTTGCCAAATCAAGGAACGTTCGAGTAATAACAGAACACTGGCAAAGTTGGATAATGACACGGGCACACGTGGCCTCCTGTTTGAATTTTCAAATTGGATAGACTTAGCGGCATGCCCCTCTACCGTGCCGGCTGGCTCACCGGCAGGGTCACTTAATACTATGTTATACAACCAGAATCAGAATCTTTATTTAGAGCGGATGAATCCGATTGAGCTACGAAGCTCTGTTTCACAGATATCCAGTAGGGGCGGGTCAGAACGTTACAACAACACAGAAGACAAAAACCCATAATAGAGGTTTTTTTGTGTTTGATTGCGTAAATATAAATGTGTCGTTAAACCTGCCAACACAGCCAATTCGCAAGATTTGTCACGTAAACAAAACGTGCCAATTCGTTACTAACACAGCACACTGGTGTGTTGGAGAGTAAACCCACAACATAGTACATGTGGTTAATGCAGACTTGATGGCTTGCAAAAGGTACCTATTTTGTGTTTGAACATCTTAACACCTGTTGTATTGCCAGAAAGGGAAAACCCTATTCTTATTTCGTTAATAATGTATAGAGTATATAAATACAAATTGCAAAAGTATAAAAAATTCCTGCCGTTTTTTCAATGTATCCCCTGTAGCCCTGGGTGACCCTGCACCCCCGTGACCTCGGGACAACCACGTGACACCATGACCCCGTGAGCCGTGACCCATGACCCCGTGCCACCCAGGGCGAGGCCTCACCGCGGGGACCACGAGGGGCTGCGAGCGGAGCTGTCTGGGCCGGACTCGCGGCTGCCGTTGAGGTCGGCCTGGGCACGCTCGGCCGCCTGTGCCAGCATTGCCGCCGTGGCCGGGTTGACGAGGCCGTGCCGCGCGAGGTACGCGAGGTTGCCTTCGCCCAACGCCTGGATCGGGTGCAGCGGACACGCAAGCGCCATGAATACGTGCCACGGCGACACGCCAAGGACACATGCCACCAACACATGCCAGGGACACACGCCATGAACATATGCCAGAATGACACGCCACGGACATACGTCATGCACATGTGCCAGTGGCACACCATTTACACACACCATAGACACATGCCACAGACACATGCCATGAACACGTGCCAGAGCGACACGCCACGGAGAAACAACATGAACACGTGCCACAGTGAAACATCATTAACACGTGCCAGGGACACACGCCACGGACGCACGTCACGAACACGTGCCCACAGCGACACGCCACGGACACGTGCCACGCGCGCACACACGCACACACACGCACACACGCGCGCGAGAGAGACAACACGCCGCGACCACACTGGGACTATTCGAGACGAGCTGCGATGCGATGCAACGAGAGCGCCCGAGTCGGCGACGTGTTCGGGGCGGGTTGGTTACCTGGAGGCCGGAGCTCAGCAAGGAGCCGTTGTCGAGGCCGCCGGGCGCGCTCTTCAGCAGCGTGGGGCTCCTGCGCGCGCCGACGCAAGAACACGGCTCGTGAAAGCTCACGCGCGAGTACGCGCGCACCCGCATACACACGGCACTCGCACGCACGCTCAAGCACAGACACTCAGACAAAGGTCCCCGTATAGCTATTCGGCCGGATGGGGCAGGTGCGGTTATAGGGAGCGCATTTTGTGGCCCGCTATCAAGTCCGGGCGGCCGGCCCGCCTTTGTCTCCCCAGCGTTGATGTTTGCCACAATCGTTTAAGGCCTAGTCGACCAAGGGAAGGCCCAGAACCGGTGCTGATATCACTTGCCCAATAACGTCATCTGTGGCTGTGATTCTGACGAAGATTGCTAGACCTGTAGAGTGGTGCCGTTACTCCCCTCCACACACACACACGCACACGCACGAACACACACATACTCGCACGTGGACGGGACGCATTAATTCGTACAAAAACACTCGCACACATACGTACAGAGACGCGAGCACATACTCGTACACACGCACGCACACGCGCACACTCCCACGCACGTTCCATTTAACCCGCTAACGACTCCGAGGGCTTACGGTGACGCACGAGATCGATCCCTTTACGAGCAATTTTCCACGGGTAATTCCGTTCATAGGCACTACCAGCAACACTGACCTCCAGTGAGATGCATCATCCATTACCATTTAATGCCAGGCAGGTGGCAGCCCATTGAAAATCATTATCTGTTTGGCGAGGTCAACAACATTGTCAACTTTTGGAATGGGGCCATTGCCGGCTGGGGCCATTAAAAGTCCAGCTTTGCAGCGTACCTTCTTCAAACAAAAAAAAAATGGCTCTGTGGCAAGTTTCACTTACCGACATGACTACCGGCAAGTAATAAAATCGATCGATTCCGTGCATCTGTAAATGTGGTGGGAGCAGAGGATTGGCGCGCTGAGGCCTGCCACTCGAGTTGCGTGTCCAGCCTCGGCTACCATCAGTGACGAGCGTGTGACACCTGCATCGCTTTCCTGGGCTGCCCAATTGTGCCGGCCCACGCTGACCAGCGGGGTGAAGTATGGTCAAAACAATCCCTGTGACTGGCACGACATGGGACGGGTCGAGCAATGGAAGGACAAAGGGGCTGCAGGTGATTAGACGCTTTATATACATGAGTATGAATATCTCTACAACTTGGGGGGGGGGGTTTAAGCAAAGAAAATTACATTACGCTCTACTGTCCATTATCCACACACTGCGAGACTCGGAGAGGAAGAGTTGGCGACTAGCAGTGGGAGAAGCCTGTTGTTTCGGAATCGAGCCCTCTCCAGCGGAGCTCGATGAACCTGTGACCCGCTCGGTGCTCATTAAGCCCGGGCTAAAGACGCGGCCATCTTCCGCATTGTCCATTCACAAACACGATTCGCATCGCTCTCCGCGGGTGACCACAAACTAACTGGCGTTCCCGCAACACACGACGGGCGGTGACAAACCGTCACGAACGAGTGTCGAAATCGCGGGCGCGGCAGTGAGTCAAAAGCGATGAGTCAAGCGAGCATGCGAAGGAGCGTGGAGACTGGGTTAGGCGGTAGCAGCAAGCGAGCAAGCACGGCAAGCGAGGGCGGGCGGGCGGGCGGGGGGATAAAATCAGAATAAAAGCAAAATATAAGTTCAGAAAGTGTCACGCGTAAAGAACGTTGCACAACATGTTAAGGTTTTTGCGTTGGTCTTTGGATGAGACTTACAAAAATGTACCGCCGTCATTTTCAGAGAGAGTCGCTAATATTAATAATAATGACTCGTGGCTGCTGGAACTCGCTACATGGCTTATCATTTTTACGATATTTGTATATTATTTAAAGAGCATGTACTTTTTTCAAAATCCATCGTTTGTTTGTTTGTTTTCCATTGAATGGCCTCCAACTACGCACTTACTTTATGGTCAAACCAATTGCAGCTAAACTGGTGATCAGTAAACAATACAAATAGTAGGGCCCATTGCCCAAGAGACCGCTGAGTCTCAGCAGAACTCTTCAGGAGAGTCCTCGAGGCATTTGGCCAATTTCCTTAACTAGCATTTCTTATTCTTGGTTCTTTCGGTAAAGTCACGTAGAAGGGAAACAATTAAATAATAAAAATATAAAACAATAAAATTCTCACGACGTTTCGACTGCAACACAAGCAATCATCATCATCATCACCTGATGATGATTGCTTGTGTGACTTTACCGAAAGAACCAAGAATATGAATCCCTGCAGTCACGAAAGCTTTAAATCAAAAGCATTTGTTACTTTGTGACTTCCCAGAAAAAAACCCAAGTAGGCACGCTCGCAGCTCTGCATTGACAAGATTTAAGAATCCCATTGCTGGATTGCCACCTCGCAGGCCAAGCCTCCATCCCACACCCGGGGTAGGCACTCTCTCAGCCGGGTACGAAGCAGACTCAGCCCTGCTAAGCTTCCGAGATCTGATGGCCGCATTATTTATAAGGAACGTTTGCTGATAAACGTTCCATCTTACGAACAAATACCAATGCTCCACTGCACCCAGGCTTAGCCCCGTGGTGTATAGTTTATAACAATCACATTATTTATTTACAGGCCTTACTCGGACCAATAGCGGATGAAGCCATCCCCATGCCGTGTCCGCTTTAGGAATTGTTTGATCGTCTTCTGGGTTCTTTCGGTAAAGTCACGTAGAATGGAGAGGCGTGCCCGGATGTTCCTGGAGGCCCAAGGCAGATTCCCAAATAGGGCCCCGCTAATGCCACCATCCAAAGGCCTATTTTGGGGCCCTCTTTTTCGTGAGAAGGGGGGGGACAAATTTATTTTGTCATCCCCCCCCCCCACCTCACCCCTTCTGGGCAGACTTGGCCATACTTCACCATGCAGATCAGTGCAGGTTGGTGAAGGGGGAGGGTGGTGCCTAGGTCCAGTTAAGATATCACGAGCCCCTCATGTTAGCCATGGTCGCGAATAACACCGAGGTCGCAGAGTTCACGGCGTAGTGCGCCAACCTCTGTGCCACCGATCTAACCGCCACCCCCCCCCCCCCCCCACCGACCATTGCATATTTTAGAGAACTATTTATAATCGTCCATCGTTTTTAAGCGTTCATCTGCTCTGCAACTGAGACACCAATAAGCCGAGTGTGGCTTAAACACACTCAAGGGCAGATGGAATTTTGAATCGACGGGGCGATAAGAATGAGTTGTTTTTAAATTAAATAAGCAAAAGAGAACAGGTGGCGACCCTAATTGCCGTGACGGGCGCCCGCCCACTTGCACGGGAATGCCGCGGGGTTTGCTCGTGCGGTGCTGGGCGTTTCACTTCGAGCATCATTCCATTGGAAAGACGCAAGGACGCCGGGCTTCCCCTCCGCCCCCGCACGCGCTGCTGTCGTGTCAGCGATCGTCCACCCTCGATGGTGGGCGGCAACTTGGGGGAGGCCTTCATCCAGCAGTCGATTGACCACGGCTGATGATGCCCAAGATGATGCCTAAGAACCAACGGAGCCAATCGGCAGGCTTCCCAGTCCTCGCTACTCACTGCCGTATCCGCCTTCCCCTCCAAGTCTTCTCCGTTCAGATACAAATCAAGCCATTGCACACCGCACCTGTCTGATGATTGGTAAACATATCCAACATGCCGTAGGCAACGCTAATTGAGGTTGGATGTATGGCGGCGAGATGTTAACTACCTCGGCTGGTATGCAGGTGGTCGGGGGTTCGAGCCCAACCAACCCCTGCTGTATATTTGGAGTTTGCATGTCCCTCTCCTCGTGGTCGCGTTACTTTTTCTCCGGTTCCTCCGATTTTTTCCCTCCACATTTAGAATCGTGCGTTTAAAGTTACTGGCTGCTATAAATGTCCACGTGATAAGCCGTTTCATTGAGTGATCATTTGTGGCCAGGTCGCTTCTGAAAAAGAGCGCTGTAGAGCTCAGTGGGCCTTACCTGGTAAAATAAAAGTAGTTTCGTTTTCAGTTAAGTGAAGGATGATTCTACTTTAATTGATGAAGCCCACTCTGTGAGGAAGGTGAACAGGCCAGACAATCAGGCCATGGCAATTGACCAATGGATTCTTCAATCGAGCTGTGTGGAGCTCTGAGCATGAAGCTATCCTCCTAAAAGAGTCCAAATCCTCAATGAGAATTTCCTTGATGAACAGCATCGTTGTTATAGGTACAAAAATGCCCTAACATCAATGGCACGTGAGATCAGTCCAGCCCTCTGCCCCCTTCACCAACCCTCGCTGACCAGTGTGGTGAAGTATGGTCAAAAACCCCTCGTGACCGACATTGCGTGGGGAGGCCTTCATCTGTTGGTAAGGATTGAGAATGGCTGGAAATTATTTTACTTTCATGTCCCTTCATCCAGAATTCTTGTGCTGCTTTTGATGTTCAGCAAAGTCCTTGTGATTATTTCTCTCAGTCGTGTTTGTTTTCTCAACAATGCTTACGATCCGGCACTCACTCCAGCCACTGGCTCACCGGTGGTCAGTCGCCTCCATATCACGCTTCTATCGCTAGTACCATGTTTAGGGTTTGCGTGAACTGCATTCCTCGATTCCTCCACCCATGTTGGGTGGAGGTCTCGGTCTACCAGACTGACGGTTTCGTCTCAACCACCGCGTGTTCGACCATCACACTGCAGGTCACAAAGCTTCTCTCTCTCTGCTCCTTCCCTTTGCACTGTGCCACTTTGGAATTCCCTCCCATCGTTTCTTTTCCCTAAGCTCTTACAAGAATATAACCCTTTGTACAATTCAATAAACGAGTCAACTGTAATCTATGACAAAATAGTGCTGCTTGTTGCTGGCTGCTTGACATTCTGGGCCTCTAGGCCTGTGCTCAGCAACCATGTTTAAAAACGCATAACACGAGCACTTGGCCAATTGCTCCATATGATTTAGTTTAAAATATGTTAAACATTCCTAAGTAATGTTGAGGTATCTCACCAGTCCACTGTGTGATCTGTTCCTGTCTCACGTTGCCTATTAGGAATTATAATGGATGGATGCATAATTATCACCGAACACAGTCGCATCTTACCCTTACCAGCATATTTATGTAATATATAACCTTACGGGATACATATTATCGATAATAACAATCCCAGCCTATAACCAAATCACCCAAACTGTGTTCAATCTCGTTAGATATCAGAAGCTAAGCAGGTATTTGAGCCTCTCGTTAGATATCAGAAGCTAAGCAGGCATTTGAGCCTCTCGTTAGATATCAGAAGCTAAGCAGGTATTTGAGCCTGGACAGCGCTTGGAATGGTAACCGCCGCGTACAGACAGGCACTCCATCAAGGTCCTTCAGATCTTCTGATCTCCAACTACTCAGCATTCCCAGGTCTAGGTTGGCGCTCTTTTGGTGACCAGGCTTTTCTTAGCGTGGCACCCAAGCTATTGAACGCCTTTGCCACTGGAAAAATCAGGAAATCAGAGGCGGTAGATAGATTCAAGTCTGCTTTGAAACCCCATCTCGTTGAAGTGGCCTTCTTCCCTCTTTAGTTTTGGCAGTTGCCCCGGTTCTGTTTTTGTTACTTGCTTTTCATGCATTACGCACTGGGATCCTAGGATGTATTGAGCATTATACATTTTAATTATTATGTTATTACGTGATAGGCAGTGCAGCCAAAGCCACCGTTGCTCTGTGCTGCTGTACTCCCGTGTTAATGCTCCCTGCCTTTACCAACCCACAACTGAGCAGCGAGGTGATGTACGGTCAAACGACCCAGAGAACCACCCACACGGTGATTGGGAGGTCCTCATCCGCATGTGGATTGACACAGGGGCTGCGTGTGTACGTAATTACAGGCACTACGATAACAACAACAATAATAATAATAATAAACAATGCAGAGGTTCACCTAGGCGGCACCGATATATTGCATCATCGTAATCACAAGACCAACGACAAAAACCGAATGGAGTTCGAGCGAACACCTCGTTTCCAACAGGGCCGGTTTCACCAACCCAACGCGTCCTCAAGGCTAGGCCTCAGGCCTTAACGCCAGCTCCGGGAGACTTTTTCCACTGCCACATCTGAGCCGAGCCACCACAAGGGGCCCCCTCGCAACACGGGTGGTTTTCCACTGGGATATTTGCCGAGCCAAACCGTAACCAACCAGTGATACGCCGGTCTCTCAAGGCATCTCAATCTGGCTCGGGGTGGGGGGGGGGGGCAAGTAGGGCCAGGGACGGAGCTAATGACGCCATCAATGCGTGTGACGCGAATCAGTTCACACCTCCAACGCAGCGTTCATCTGCGTGCGTACCGACGCGTTTATCGCGTGTGACTGTAGTTGGCAGTGGAAAAAACAACCCGGAGCCTCCCGAGCCGGCACAGGGCAGCCCCGACGGACGCGGTTTGGTTGTCCAGTGGAGAAGAGGCACGGAGGCTGCTCAACGCTCAGCCTCTTTGTGTACTGGTAACATTCGCGGAGGCCGAACCATCACCACCACCGCTGGCAACCACGTTGATCGCACGGGGAGGGGGGGGGAGGCGGTGGGGTCCTCCCCGCGGTTAGCCTCTGCGTGCCGAGCACTCTCACTGCGCCGCGGTCAACGCGGAACAACCGGGACCCCTGCATGGAAGCGAGAGGCCGCGCGCAAACTCGCAAGCAAGCGGGCGGGGCAAAGCGTTTGGCGCAAGCGAAGCGGAGGCAGCCAAAGCGGAGGGCCGGGGTGGGGTTAAGGAGGAGACGGGGCGGTAGGGAGAAGCGGTGGGGAGGAGGGAGGGAGGGAGGGAGGTGTAGCGGCAGGCGGCCTTACTGGAGGAGGTATTTCCTCAGAGCCCTGCCGGACGGTTTCCTGTTGCTGTCGGTGCCCCGGTAGGTCCAAACGGAACCGGCTCCCACCTCTGTCCGCACGAAGCATGGGTGCTTCGACAGATTGGTGCGGATGGCGTTCTGGCATGCGGGCGGCAGCGGGTGCGCGTGAGCGCGCGCATGCGTGCGGCGCGGGGCAGGCGGAGGTCACATTGGGGGGGCGGGGGGAACGGGGGTCAGGGGTCACGTGGGGAATGTGGTGGTGGGTGGGGAGATGGGGGGGGGGGGGATTTGGGCAGCAGGTTAGCGGGACGGGGAGCAAATAGGGGGCAGCGGCGCGCGAGGTTCAAGCGGATTTTCCAAGCGGGCAGCGAAGCCAGCGCGGAGTAGTTGTGGAGCGGCACGGGAGAGAGGGACGGTGGGGGAGTGGCCACGGGGGGCGGGGAAGTGGGGGGAGAGAGAGGGAGACACAACAACAAGAGGGGAGTCACTCACAAACCACCATTAACATTCAGCAACATCCAAACGCCGGTGGAAATCGAGAGTCGGGATGGAGAGTGGGGTGGGGGTGGAGGGGGGGAACTATGGGGTAGTGGGGGGGGGAGGGCTCATAAATAATTTGATTCAAAATTCCTTCTTCTCAGCATTCGTTGGTTTTTCAAAATGTATTTAAAAATCACCCTTTGTTTTCCTTTCCCTCTGAGCTCCACGGCCCAGCAGAGTGCGGCGCGCATGGCAAGGCAGCCAAGCAAGGGGTGGCGAAGCAAAGCAAGCGTAAAGCGGGGGGGGGGGGGGGCGGAAGGGCAGGGCGGCGGCAACGGCGAGGACCGGTTGCTGCGGGTTACGTTGCCAAGATCTCACAACCCTGGAGGCGCAAAGGGGCACAACAACAGAGAGCGGTGAAGCGCGGCAGACGGCGGTAGCCCGGGGCGACGGGTCGGGTGGGCGCGACACACACACGCGTGCGCGCGGCGCGTTACCCTGTGGGTTTCTGCGGCCTTCGCTTTTGGAACTCCAGCTCGTCCACCGTCCACACTGCACCCTTAACGTTCTCAACACGCACAAAACACTTGTGCAGGCTCAGGTTATGCCGCACGGCATTCTGGGGTGGGGGGGACGGACGGGCGCACGAGTACCCGGGAGCGGATGGGATGGGAAGAAAATGGACACAAAAAGGAACAAACAAAACACAAGGCGGTGAGTCACTGGACGTGTTTAGGACTTCCGGCCTGGTCAACAACAACAACAACAACACGTCTTGAGAGCCCTTTAAAAGACCGGGGCAGTGAAACGTCTTTAAATAATGAAAACAGTAAAACAGTGAACTCGCCCAACAACCAGGTTGTGCACACGTCGTGCCAAAAGCAGCTCCACCCCATGCATATTGGGCCCTGAGTGGGGTTTATAGCGTCCATCACATCCTGTTATTCACACATGGTTGTCGCTTCTGACTTTTTATCAGCTCGAGGTGAGGTGCAATGAACGGCACTTGCTGGGAATGTTTGTCATCTTACACCTGAATTTTTTTACGATGACGGTGATAACTTTTTATTTTATTTGTCTGCGCAGAAGCCACAATGCCAACAACAACCACCACCATCTCGTATTCCCGCCGGCGACTGAGCCTCCCGGTCGGTGTGGAGCCACGTCGAAGCTGACCAAAACGGCAAAAAAAAACCCCCGCACATAACCGGATCGATGTGACACAACATCGTGGATAAATGCCGCCTCCTCTGTTTAACATACGAATCCTGGACACGTCGATATAATTTATTTCAAACTCTTTTCATTAAACTAATTTGATTGTTTTACTTCATACAGTTTGGTCTGTCGACTTTATTATACTTAACCGAGTTATAAAGCACATTTATAAATACCCCAAGTAAAAAAATTCAGGGAGGAAATTATATAAAACACATCTTGACCCAACCTCATACATCTATTACAGCTTTCAAAACCCTCTCACGATCGCTTTTGCCAATTATTCAATCACAACATTAAACCACCTGTTGAGCAGAAATCTGTGGGCTGTGTATAATAAATGGATGACCCCCCCTATCATCACGCCACGCTTAATTCAGTCGTGCATTTTGAGTTTTCCAGTTTGCGCCCCCCCCCCCTCCCCCGCGCCGACACAGAACCACGCGGCGTGCCACCGTTTGCTCCTTCGGCTACTGCGCAAAGCTCAGCTCGACCGTGATGGCCACAAGGCGAGGGCCGTTCGCCGTCGCGGTCTTTCGACCGACAATCTGCCCGTTGCGAACGCCCGCACAACGAACAAAGCGCGGCGCTGGAACGCGCGACGCCACGACGCCTCCATCGCTTTCTGAAAGGGTTAAAACAACGGCGAGCCCATAAACAGCAAAACGCACCGCCGCCACACGAACTAAACTAACAACAAATTGAGCCTGTGAAGGCATTTTTATTCCCAACAGTAAAACGATCGTCTGATTCGTAAATACAACTGTACCAATATAAATTCCTGACCCAGACTTGTCAAAACAAGTCACATTTTTTTTAAATCAATTCCTTTTATCACTATTACTGGGTAATTATTTTTCTACAGAGAGTGCTTAAGTTTAGTTATTTTCAGGTGGGAGAACAAAAATGAATCGCGCTGGAACAGAATGCAGGCCGGCTATGTGGACATGTACAGGGGAACAGGTACGGCTATGGGGGGACAGGTACGGCTATGGGGGTACAAGTACGGCAGCTTGTGGCTGCTTCCCTTTAAACATTAATTGCGAAGCTTCTGCTCAGCGTGTAACCCACACAGCAGACCTCTTCCATGTTGTGCACGTACCCCCCCCGGCAAGTATGTGGGTGTTACATTTAATTAGGCGATTGAAATATGACATTTTTGTTGATTGCATTTGAACGTGAGGGCTGCCAGTGTAAAGCGCAAACGGAGCGTTGTGCATCACTGCAAGCACCTAAGCCACACTAATCGGGTACGAGAGGGGGACAGGTTCGACCTGGCAACATTGCGTTTCTTATTTTAGCACAGTCACCGTAAGGGCCTTTCGCACTGAGGTGACTGCGGCATGTGTTCAAAATGCGTGGTTGTCTACCAATGTATTTGAAAGAACCAAACGGGACCTTTTATGCTAGTATCATAGTATGAAAAACCTATTCTGATTTTTTCATAATTTAAAAGTACCGTTCGCCCTTCCGTAACAGGCGTAATTCATACGAGCACGCGCACACTCAAGCGCATACTTTCCATCAACGCGTCAATCTGTCACGACGCGGTGACATGCAAGAATCAAATGTGTATGTTTAAAAAAAAAAATTCGGTAAAGTTTCAAAACGCCGGGTACCTTCCAAGTGGCCGTGTTGGTGCGGAAGTAGGCGAAGGTCGTCGTAAACCAAGTGTAGATTTCATTTAACGTGAGCTGCCGGTCGGGGTTCTCTATGATGGCCTGCGGAAAGTGGGAAACGGCAGGTTTCAAGAGATATTTCAACAGCGGCATAACAAGCAATTCAAACAAAACTCAAGTTAACGAGATTCGGCGAGAAGCGGAGCGAAAATTCGTAGATGTCAGCAGCGATGACGGCACGGGGCGTGGCGTGCCGAGACGGGATCTCACCTGCCGGATGAGAGAGGCGTACGTGAAGGGAGGTCTCACCTCCGCGTTCCTGTAAAACTCCTGGTTCTGCGCTATTTCTGCAAAAGAGAAGGCATCGTTGTCGCTCCGTCAAAAAAAAGTTTCTTCCCCGACGTATGTACGTACGTATGTACAACTTCTTTCGCACCGTACGTGGCCAACCGTGTTAATCGGAGGTAGCCAACCGACAGAGCGATAATTAACCCTCGAGGCCATGGCAGGGACGTTCGGCCCAGCCACGATCTATCACCTGCTGGCGAAGGCTTTCCCCCCAGAAAGCTGCCGCCATATCTCACGGTCGTGCTCTGCAACGATCCACCTTGCTCCTACCCACGTGCGAGCCGATTTCATCGCTCCGTCCCTGCGGCAATCGACCTCTCGGGAGTAATTCACTCATTTGGCTGCACTCCATCATCAGTCTCGACCACCGGACGTCATCCGCCCCAGCGACGTATCCCTGCCCGAAAACGCTTGCTATTCTCAACGGTCAATACGACGTCTCTGATTTCAATGCGTTCTCCAAACCACGTGCTCATCTTTCTGTCTCTAAGTGCAATTCTAAGCATGAACCTCCCCCACCTCACTTTTGTGCGCACTTTTGTTCGCTCTTCCTCATCGACGTCCACCTTTCTGATAGACGTCATCACACACGTGCACTACACACCGACTAAACACTCCATGGACAATGTTTCGGCTGCTTTCCATCGTCAAAATTACATTTTTAGAAAGCACTCCAACCTGCTCTCGCCCGCCCCTTCGATTCATCACGCGATCTCGGTCCGCCTTCAGTCATTGGCCCGAGGCCTTCATGATGCTCGGCTGTATTTTCCAGTTGTGTTCCTCCGGCAAATATCTACAGTTGCTGAGTGAAAATGGACGTTACTTTATTTTAATCGATTGGGATAACACAAAGCGATCGTCGGCCCCTACTGGCAGACTAAGGCCCGCTTACACGGCCAGGTACTGAGCCACCTTACACGACACAGGGACAGCTGCCAGCGGGGGCGCGGGGGAAGCGCGGGGGGGGGGGGGCACGGGGAGGGGGGCACGGGGGGGGGGCACGACGGCACATAGCCAGTCGGCGTCACGGCCCCGCCGGAGGGACGACCTCCTCCCGCTGGCGCTCACCGCTCGAGAGGCAGCCGAACTTGTCGAGGTTGCGGCGCCGGATGGGCCCCACGGCCTGCATGGCCTGCATGGTGCTCTGCGTGAGCACGGTGAGCCCCTGCACCACCCCCATGCCGGAGCCCGGCGACACGGAGAGCCGCGGCGGCGGGGGCAGCGGAGCCAGGGGGGGCGGTGCCGACAAGGCCGCCGACGACGCCGAGAGGACGGCGAGGGCCGCCGGCGGACCGCAGGGCGTGGGCGGCGTGTGCGGCGCCAGCGTCTTGCTCCGCGGCGGCGTCTCGGGGACCGACCGCGCCAGGTTCAGCTGCGGCGGGCAAAAAAACACGGGAAGGGAAGGGGGACACGGAATGACGTGCAGGCGCCAGCCTAGCGGACACTTCGGAAGAGGCGGCGGGTACCCACACTTTACCCTGCCACACGCGGCCTGCCTGCGCATCAATTCACTGCGGTGGATCCCATTTCTCGGTGGACAGAGGCGGTGGGCGGTTGGAGAGAGAGAGGCGGGACGGGGGGGGGACTCAAGAAACCTGCGCCATTGTTTCAACTGCCGCCCCTGGGGGATGGAATCGAAGTGGTGACCGTTGGATTGCAAGCCCAGTGTTCTAACCGTTTGTGCGCCGACTCAGAAATTACAAAAGGAATTGGATTTACGTAACGTCCAGATGCGACCGCATCTCAAAACACTGACCGCCTACCCAATATGCTTTGCGCTAATTAAAGCGTGCGGGGGGGGGTGGGGACCGCTGTAACAGTGGTTTGCGCACTGCACTATGAACCTGGCGGCCTGCACGGCGCAGAACAATTTGCGATGCGATTTGGGTCGGCATGTAACGTGGGTGGCGTTGTCGTGTACCAACCTGCACTGCCCAGCATGGTGAAGCAGCATGGCCAAACAACCCCCATGACCGATGGAGGATGGGGAGGCCTTTATCCACCGGTGGATTGACAAGGGGCTGTAAATAATTATTATTGCGACAGAAGAAATATCGAGGTTTACAGCAAACGGAGGCCGACGGGTGGAGTTGAAATTTCAGTTCCATCACCATTGATAAGTGGATATTTATCTGGATTTATTTACGCCACTGCCAATCAGCATGCTAACGCCGCAATGCCTTCAAGAATTCTTCAAGAGTTGCGACCCCTACGCGACCCCTACGGCGAGCCTCTCATCATCTCGACTCCATCAGACAGCACCGCCCTACCCTTGCCCCTTCTTGCCAGGATCTCTGAGATTCTCTCTCTCATATATAAACCTCAAGAGTTCCCCAATGAACGCGGCGAGCCCACGCGTGTAGATGTTTCCTTCCTCTCGGTGACAGTTAAAGAGCTCCCTTGTGTTCCTTTTAACTGGCCTGTGAATCATCGTAGATGTTCTTTTGCAAGTTGCACTCAGTGTGCTGGGGTACAACCAAGGGACTAACTCATTGAGAAAATTCCCGGTGTCGCTGTATTGACCCAGTCCAACCACGACCGGCAGCGCCATATCAAGCACACATTTTTGTGTCCAGAGTTTACCTAAGGGAGGCCCAGACCGGGTTTCAGATTCCCATTGCTGCCGTCACTGTGCATATGCAATGAGTGAACCTGCGTTGCCAGGCATTGAAAGGCATTGCGCTACAATACACCCCCACACGCGCACACACACCCAGCACTGGCTTGCAACACATCACACGCGTACACACACTACACACACAGCTTATCAAAGTTATGACCCCTTTCTCATAATGGCAGGGTATAAAAACGCAAGCATAAATTTCTAAGTTTTTATGTTTTTGGGTTATTTATTAGATCTGTAAATGTATGGCGGGGGAGTTACAAGCATTCGGTTTATTGTGGTGCGACAGCCCAGCCCTGCGGGTGGTCTAACTACAAAGAAGGGCAACCCCTGACACTAATAGGTACCGGTTCACGCCCCACTGCCACCACCGCTGACGATGGGGCGCGCTGTGGGAATATTTTAACCGTCTCCGGAATAAATAAACAAAAATCCCTGCAATGTCATATTTCCCCACTAGAGGGTACGACAGAGCCTTCTGAACATTTGCCACCCGGCCCAATGGACGAATAAAAATAAGAGTCGATAAATTTAAGTATTCGTGAAATAACGTGCCGCCCTTTTGTCAATCAATGCTTCGAACGCAACACTGCTGCCTCGCTGTGCGAACATCGGTGAAAGAGAGCTTCGCAGCTCATCGGATTTCTACCAGTACAAATAAATATTCTGATTCTGTACGTTGAACTTCTTTTGTACCGTATGTAGCCCAACCGTTCTAATCAGGGGTGTGCGACACAAAGTTCTTGACGTTCATCGAAAAAAAAACGTCGCCGTTTCAACCGGCGGCCGATGAATATGCGTTCAGCCTCTATCGTAACACGCGCCGGCATTTGTACGGACGCGTGCGTAGGCACGATGGGGCCGTGGATAAGGACGCGTGCGTGCGGTCTCAACGCCCGGCACACGAAGACGAAGCGCCGCAGATGAAATCAGGGACCAACCCCCTCTCCCCTCCCCTCCCCCTGGCAAACGTCCAAGATTTCCGTCAACCAGAAACTTGTTTTGCAAAACAATGAATTTGCAGGAAAATAACGAGTGCGGCGAAAAAGAATAATAAACGCCCCCCCACCCCGCCAAAAAAAAATTCCGATGATTTCATCATTTGAGAGTTTGTTTCTGTTTTTAGCGGTGACATTTCCACAATCTTGAGTCTGCGCGCCGCAAACTCTGTTTGCAATGACGGTGCCACTAACCATCATCATCATCATAATCCTGCAGGGGTTGAAACAATTAGTACTATTTTGTTGGCAAGTCAAAAAGTGGATGTGCTTTGGGTAGACTCACCCCCAACCCAACGCCCCCTCCCCCCATAGGAATGTGGAATTTCTACCACTGGCTCCCGGCAGCCACACTTCCATAAGTTCACCTGCAGGCAAATCTAAAATACCTAGAAATTTGTAGTTCATAAAGTGAAACGTCGGCATCGTCATCTGTCTTCCCATTATCACCAAAGTGGTTCCGAGAGAAAACCTTCCCGTTGATGCTTTGAAACTACGACGTCCTCTATTGCATTTACAAAAAAACACGACGAGTCGTTAATAAACGGCCGCGTGCCGCTCGGGCAGGACACGTCGCTAAGAAGCGATGGTGGCCCCGCATCGGAAATTTTCGATGGAGTGGCAGCCAAAGGAGGAAATGCGCCCGAGAGGTCGCGCAGCGAGGGTGCGGAGCGGTGAAATCAGCTGCCGTGCGAGGTGAATGAATGCATCGTGAGACCGTGAGATACACCGAAGCCTCGGGGAGGCCTTCACCCAGCGGTGGATTGACAAGGGGTTGCAAATGACGATGATGACGACGATGACGTTTCATGCGTCGCATTAACGACGATGGCGCCTGGGGTGAAGGGAACATGACAAACGAAGCATCGCGTTTGTGTCTGCGTTACCGGCTGGATGCAGCTCTTCGACTGAGACTTGGAGACGTGAAGATGGGACATCATCGCCTCCAAAATTTCCCTCTCCTTCTCCAGCTGCACGCGGGCAAAGAGCACAGCATGTTAGCATGGGATCCGAGCAATGTACCCTGATGTAAATCCTCTAGATTGATCTTGTAGGTAGAGGGGGGTTTCGGTCTTCTGCGTGTATCCATGCAGCTATTTGCTCAATCCACTGCCGGACTGTACTTACATATACATGTCGAACTTATTTCGCACCGTACATACCCAACCGCGCTAACAGAACCAAGGCCGCCCACCCCCCCACCCCCCCCCCCCCCACGCCGTGTGGGTCGTAGTGGTCGTTCGACCGTACTTCACCGCGCTGGTCGGTGCGGGTCGGTGAAATGCGGGGGAGGTGAATAGTCGTTTGGAGCACGGCGGTGCGAACCATGTGGTACTGTGGCGCTGCCCCCTGAGGCCCGCCACGGAGCCTAATGACGACAGCCTCGTCGCGGTGCCCCGTCTCAGCCACATCCAGGACCAGCCACGCTCGGCGTCCAACACCCGACGGGGTTGGGATATCTACGGGATCCTGTTTTATTTTTTGCCAGTATCAAACACGATTTTGAAAAACTCTTTCGCCCGACCTATTAACGCTTCGGCGTTTGCATCGTCCTTGTGTCCTGTTGCCGTTGGTTTTTTTTGTTCTTCTATAGCACCGGTGAGATGCAAAGCCATAAAGGAGGCTGTCTCTGGTGTAGGCAAATCAGTTTCAAGGACGGTGCATGCAAGATTATATCAAAGCATATTTGTTTGCATGTTTTACCACGAGCATGTGTGGTAAATGCAGACCTGATGCCTTGTAATAGTCATCGATTTGGTGTTTGAACATCTTAACACCTGCATTATTGCCAGAAGAGGTTAAAGAGATTGGACTAATTATGGGTGATTTGAATCACAGGATGCATCGTATCCAGTATAAACACACATGTATATATTGTATATTTGTGAATGCACGCTTGAATAAATGTCACATATATGGGAGAGTGTATAAACTACAAATGTATAAACACTGCATGGCATATGTCAATAAACTCATGGTGCATGTACGTTGTTTAAGCAAAAACACATGGATACCCAGACTGCACACACGCAAATGCACATGTATAGCCACATGCACACCACGAGCCTCCATAGTTGGGCTACGTACATTGCTGTTAGCGAGCACCTATTAAGGTGGGGGCGGCACTCAAGGTAGCGGCGTGACCAGCTTCCTGCGCGTTCGGTGCCGACGTTAACGGGCTGCACCTGGGACCCTCATCTAAGGCCGACTCGACCTAGGGGAGGCCCATTCCAGATTCAAATCCCAATCAGAAGCCTGTTGAGGGGGGAATAAAATAAGCACCACTTTGCAGGGAAGTCTACAGCAGCGGATTTCCCAAGGATAGACTCGTCCCTGCCATAGGAACGTGGAATTCCCAGCCCTGGCTAAGAGCGGTAAGCAGGAGATGAGCAGCGCCGCCTCGATGCTCATATGAGCATCAGGAAATCGCTCTGTTATTGTGACTCCCACACGCACGCGTACAAATGCACGCGCGCAGATGCACGCACGCACACGCACGTGTGCACAGGCGGGCATGATGGGTGTGCACACACACCTGTATCTCCAGCTGGTGCACCACCTGCATCTGCACGCGACACTGGGCGGCGCTCCGGTCGTCCAAGCCGTGCTCGCTGTGCAGGTGCCTGGGCAGCGGTCAATGCGTATGTGCAACACGCACACACACACACACGCAACGCACACGCGCACACGCACACGCACAATACACGCACGCACGCATGCACACACACACGCACGCACACACAACACGTACGACCCTTGTTTAGCATGGCTAGAGACGACTGGGGCAAAGTGGTGTCAGCGAACGCCCGTTGTGTCTGCAAGGAGAACATTTGCTAGGTTCTAGGTTCTTCTTGCAGACACAAAGTTCGAGCCGAGTGTGGTTGTGGATTAAATTTATGACCGGCTCGCCATCCAACCACCGTTTGTATGTGCATGCGTATGCTTAAACTTCTTTCATACCGTACGTAGCCAACCGTGCTAATCAGTGGTGCGGGTGAAGGACGACAAACTAAACACAAAAAAGCAATTCGAAAGGAATGAGCTTTAAATCGATATGCAGAGAGGCAGACAGAAAACAGCTCACACAGGATACGTTTCAGTTAAGTGCACACATGGACAGCCCTTTTTCATCAAGCCGCTGTGGGTCGTCGGGGAGTTAATTCACTGTACCTCACCACGCTCGTCAGTACAGGCGCGGGACCGCAATGGGTGTCTCTGGAATGCCCCCTCCTTCAGCAAAAAAAAATATATTGCCGTGGTTTTCCCAGCTGATGATGATTGCTTGTGTTGCGATCGAAACGTCGTGATCTAATTTATTTTATTTTTCTACCTACGTGACTTTACCGGAAGAACCAAACAGTATGAATCCCTGCAGTCACGAAAACTTCAAATCAAGATTGCCCCCTCCTCTATGCACACGGTAGGCCCCGAAGCAGCCCGATAACGCGCCGCTCTCTCCAGGTGTCGCGGGCTCGTGGTCGCCCGCACGGGCGCAATCTGTGCTCATGCTCGCTTCAGCTTCCGCGCGACTGTGAGAGATCGGATGAACGCCAGGTGTTTTTGATCGGAGGTCTGAGGATACTTTTTTGCGTGCGCACAATCAGTGCGTATGCGTACGGGCGCTAATCACGCACGGCTGAGCTTCGCAGCTGTGCATGGCTATTTCTCTGTCCACCAATCCTGGTCGAGAGACGGGAGAGACAACTTAGCTTGTGTACTTTTCCCCTCTTACAAAAAGGCAGTGTTTACGAGTGATGGCGGTGATGATGATCGAGCATTTTGAGGACAGACAAGACATTCCAATGCCACGGCGATGATAAACGACGCTTGAATGTACAGACAGGTTGATTCGAGAGAAACAATAACCCATCGGCATTTCCTGAAGAAGTGCATTGTTGGTCCTCTTTGTCTTTGGTCACCAACAAAATTGATTTGAGTGAATGTGATGATCGACTGACAGCAGGAGCAGCAGCGATGCAGCGACAGAAAACAACTGCGGGCCGGCCACAATGGCCGTATGCACGTACGCACACTGGCCGCGTGGTTTTAACGCACACTCGTGTCTAAGTTTGCAAAGGTATGGTTTTTCCAGCCTTGCGCTATTATGCTGTTGCGATGGGGGCTATTATCGTTGTTTACAGATCTGATATACGTAGGCGAACAAGTACAGCAGCACACCTTTCAGGGAATTTACAGAAAAAAAACACATAAATATGTATTATGTTGAAATTGTTTAGCACCGTACGTAGCCAACCGTGCTGATCGGAGGTGCGGGAAGGAATTGCATTGCTATTATTTTTTTATCAGAGAAAAGCATCCGCTGAGTCTCAAGACCGTAAACAGTAAGGTCATAGTTCAAAAGTTAGGCCATGTTCTCTTGGATGTCTTAAATGCGAGAAGAAACCGCAGGACCAGGGGACCACCGATATGCATCACATGCCATCAATTGGTAAAGAGTATAGGTCAGCATCCTACTTGCTGTACTGCCTCCTGTAAGTGCCTCGCTACCCGCACAAGCGTGTGGCGGTCTCGCTCACTTCATGATCTCTGCGCGATCCATCATCCCCGTCTCCACGCATAAACATTAAACAAGGTGGCAAAGAAGACAGACGACCGTGAGTTTCACAACCGCGCTCTCAATAACTGCTGGCAAACCAGTGCTTCTCAGCTCCAGTCCACGCACCACCTCTCCACAGTTCACCTCTTGCGATTCTCCAAATCACTTCAACTCGTACTCAAATTAGGCCACCGCACACCGTATGCGCCTGATGATTGGTAATCACGAAAAGGTGTACTGTACTGGGCACGAAGTCGGGAGTTGAGAAACACCGACCTACACGGAAGACAAAGTTGCATATTTGCTTAACAATCAAACTAAACTAAAAACTAAACTAGGCGAGCTATATAGCTCTTTTTCAGAAGCGACCTGGCCACAAATGATCACTCGCCAAAGTGGCTTATCATGTGGAAATGTATTAGAGCCAAATACTCTGAATGCACATTTCTAAATGTGGAGGGGAAAAACCGGTGGACCCGGAGAAACACCCAGGCGAGCACGGGGAGAACATGCAATATCCAAATATGTAGGCGTCAGGGTCGGGATCGAACCCATGACCTCCTGTATACCAGACGAGGTAGTTAACATCTCCTAGCCACCGTGGCGCCAATCAACAATGCTCCACTGCAGTACTTTTATTTATTCAAACTGGGCCACATCATTCAGACGGCAGGAGCACAATCATCAATGTCGTCTGGTTGGACCATCATTACATTGCATGTGCTTCACACGCCTGACTGCTGGTGAAAACCCAAAAAGCCGGTCCAGAAATTGCTCAAACAAACAAAAGTCTGGAAAGGCCAACAGGATGATAGGCTTAAAAAAAAAAAGTATTCATTTGTGGTGTCTATTTTTAACAAGCTGACGAGCCCTCAACATCAAGGGGAGTCTGTGCAAAACCACTCACGCGTGGAAAATAGACAAATGCCCACACAAACGGACGCGCACGTGAGTCGAGTGAGATAACGCAAAAGCGCGCGCTAACCGCGCTGGGACGCGCAGCATGATGTGACAGTTTTTTTTTTCCCGTGAGAGCGCTTTGTTCAAGGTGCCTTCCGCTGCCAATATTGCCCAGGTGCTCGTGCGGGTGTTGGGCATTAGCATTGGTGAGCTGTGGCGAGTTTCGCAGTGACAGGGCTTAAGGAGGTTTTGTAGCTTTGAAAATACATTTTTAGTGTGTTCATCAGTGGGCTCCTTATCTCTCTTCCATTGGTACTACTAGCCCGTGGTGGTAAGGCGCCATGGTGGCTAGATGTTAATTCCCTCGCTTGGTATGCAGGAGGTCGTGGGTTCGATCCTGACCCTGACGATCCCTGTATCTTTGGAATTTGCATGTTCTGCCCGTGGTCGCGTGGATTTTTCTCCAGGTTATCTGGGTTTTCCCTCCACATTTAGAATCAACATCACTCGTTTAGAGTATTTGGCTGCTATACATGTCCACGTGATAAGCCATTTCGTTGAGCTATCATTTGTGGCCAGGTCTCTTCTGAAAAAGAGCTATGTTGCTAAGTGGGCCTTAGCTTTTAAAATAAAAAAATAGTAGTTTACTGCCATCCATAATAAAACTTGTTTGGGCTAGATCGCAAAAATATAAATGTGTCATTAACCCACCGCCACCGGACACAGCCCGAAATGTCGCCTATGATATATATATAAAAGATAAAACCATTCATAGCCTCAGCGGTATTGAGAAGTGCGTGCATTGAGTTATTGTTGTGTTAACTATCTTTGTACACCACTGCCAAAGCAGCAGCAGCATCAGAGGGAAAATTTGTTTGACAGGATAACAATCGTCTGCTCACTTGAGCCCATTAAGGGTCGCTCTCCTGTAAAATATCACAAAATAAATGAGGATTTCTCAATAAATGCACACGTGGAGTAAAAATCCGCTTGCAAGCAAGAAGCGCCATAAATCAAATGTTGTTTTTTTTATTGGCGAGCATGTAAGCTACGCAGGCATTACATAAACGTTCAAATGTAAGTTATATGTGAGAAAGCAGCTGCTGAAGTCGTTTAAGAAATGTAATATTTCTGGACTTTTTCTCTCTCTCTGCAAAACCGCTATAACGGCAGCGGCAGGCTGCACGAAGCCAACATATTTATTTACCTCTTTAAAGAACGTCAAAGGTAACATTTGCCAGGATTATATACCATGAGCTTTCATAAATAAAAGCACATGTAAACACCGCTATTAAATGAATCTTAAATAACTAGTGACAATACAATTAGAACCCGGCGGTGAGTTTTATATTTAGTGTGTTTTTTTTTTATTATAGTTGCCGGATTAAGAGGCTAGAAATAAATCTAGACGCACATTCAAAATAAGTAACTTTCAAGTCTCTGACTTCGTAGTGCAGTACGCCAACCACTTCACCACCACTCCATTCGCATAAACGTATAGGAATCATGCATCTGTTCCTACGCGAGTGATTTTATGCACGTAGCGAGAGCGTTAGAAATGATATTCGCCGATCAATCTACGTATTATCGTTACGTGCCTACTGATACGTGAGGGACCTTTGTTTAATTTGAATTTTCACAAGTCTAAGTCAACCAGAATGCGTGCAAGGCTTTGCTTGGGTTACAAGTCAACTGCTGAGGGCTAAATACGCCTACTCACGACTCCTTGTATCGATGTATGCAAAATAAGAATAGGTTTAACCCTTTCTGGCAACACAACAGCAGGTGTCAAGATGTTCAAACACTAAATAAATGCCTTTGGCAAGGAATCAAGTACTGCATGAACCACACGTCCTTGTGGTGAACATGCAAACACACATTGCTCTCATGATATATTTGCAATGCCTTTGAGACAGATTGGCCAACACCAGAGACAACCTTCTTTATGGCCTAGTCTCATCCACTGTCAGGAGAATGCATAGATTATCAGAGGCATGTTTGTTTGCATGTTCACCACAAGGACGTGTGGTTAATGCAGACACGATTCCTTGCAAAAAGGTTTTTAATTTATTGAACATCTTAAGACCTGCTGTTTTATTGGCAGAAAGGGTAAAACCTATTATTTTTCATACTTTGATACTGGCAAAAAGGCCCCATGATATCGTT